TATTGTATTTTTTACATCCTTATTTTCTAAAACGTACATTCAGCCTCATAGTTGATATATGCAGGAAACAAAATGTCATGAAATGAGACCATAGTTGGGCTGAATCATGCGCACATGAACAGGAAGTGGTTAAATCCCTGATATTTGTGGAGGAAGAATGTCCAGTAATGCAGAACAGTCACATATTCAGTTTGGAGAACAAGCAACAAAAAAAAAAAAAAAAAAAAATCAAAATCCACCAAAAAGAACAACGCAGCCATTTGTTGGCCCTGTTATGGGCTGCATGCAGTTTTAACAGAGTTATTTACTCTCAGTTATCTGTTCTCTCTGCAGAGTCGTCCCTTTTTTTTTATCCCCTTTCCCTAATTTGCTGCCACAACATTTCCATGTGACCCAACTTTTTCTGCATCAGCTGTTGGAGCAGAAAATGTTCACCACAGGAGTTGTTGTTTTTCCTGGCACTTCGACTAAAAAGCAGTTTTATTTGCCACCTGGCCTATAAACCACTTAAGACGCCACATCGTCTGAAAGATTTGCTGAGTGGTACCTCTGGCTTCGCCTACCCTCTTGTTTCAGCCTTGAGTCATAGTTTTGGGAAATCTAAGACTTCTTGATGTGTAATCAGCTTGAGATGTAGCCAGTGACTTCCTCTTTGGTCTTCTTTTAAATCAAAACCTTTAGTATGGCTGAGTCACAGTTTTAAGGCAAGGGATGTTGATTTACAGGACGTCCGATGCCTGAACCTCTGAAGTAACTCAAACCAGAACTACAACCGCCTTATTCAGCATAATCCTGTCTTGTGTGTGTGTGTGTGTGTGTGTGTGTGAGTGAGACTTCCTGAATGTGATGTTATCCGTGTCTCTGACCAACAGGACTTCCGTGAGGCCGTGCACAAGGCATCTCGTCAGAACGGGAAGCCCGTGATTGAGGAACGTCATCTCAATCAGATCCTGTACTATCTCCCTCAGCTCTATGAACTCAACCAGGATCTGCTTAAAGAGCTGGAGCAGAGAGTTGCCAACTGGTATAAAGTTATTTTATATTTATGAATTTTTATATGCACAAATGTGTGCGAGTCCCTTTAATATCAAACCCACGCAAGGCCGTGAATTCGACTAAAAGTCAGGCTTTACAGCAGCAGTTTTGTTGCTGCTACATAGGTTTTCCTACTGCCCAACACATGGTCAGTGAAATTGGACAATAACTGTCTTAACCAGATCAGTCAGGTGTTATTGATTGCAATTATATCCCTGCATGATGAATAAGTAAATCCAAGTCTGGTGGCCATTGTCTGAGGATGAAGGCATTAAACACGCAAGTGGAGAAAATAATTGACTCGTATAAAATTAAGCCAAGTTGTTAGCATTAAGACCCATTGTGGTTGAAAAAAATTAAGAGGTTATGATTTCTAAACTAACACACTGACTGGACGAGAGAGAAACTGTGCAGCTGATGAGAGCGAAACTGTTTTATTTTTTGGGACATAAGGGCCTCATCAGGTGACCCCCAAACATTGATTTAAAGGGATATTTCTCTGTGAAGAATGGTGGTTCAGGTATCATCATAGGCATGTGTTTCTTCAACAATGAAGCTTTTATGTTATCAGGGATCAGTTCAAACACATCAAAATACTTGAACACGTCATGTTGTTTTTTTACTCTGAAGAGTTTGTGTGTTTGGATTGGGCATTTGAGCAAAACAATCTCAAAAATACCAAAAAGCAAGCAACGTATAGTTTCCCTACCAATAAGATTGGCATTGTGGAATGACTAAACGTCAAGGAACTAGAAACCATGATGCCTCTGAAGCAAAACCAAGAACTGCAAAGGAATTGTGGGAGTTGGTCCAATAGTCCTGGGCTGGTATACCGGCTTACAGGTGACAGAGATCCAACAGATTTGTGACACAGTTCTCAGACACTGTAGATAAACGGATAAATACTAAATCAGGGGTTAATCAGGAAAACAAAATCTTCAAGCATTATTTTTAGTTTTAATTTTTGAGATTGTAAAGAAATATGCAGACATCAGAACTTCAAGAACCACCTCATTAACTCGAGTTGATTCGATTTGTGCCGTGCGCAGGGATGAGAGCACTCAGGGGGCTGATATCTTCCTGAAGAAAGGGCCCTATCTAAAGATGTACTCCACTTACATCCGCGAGTTCGACAAGAATGTGACCCTACTGGTAGAGCAGACTAAGAAGAACTCTGCATTTAGCGCTGTGGTAAAAGAATTTGAGGTAATCCCGCTGGCCAAACCAGTTTGGGGAGGTGTATCCATGTTGGCGGCATTACATTGTTTGTCAGAATAGAAGGACGTAATTTTGCCCCTGAAAACTGTCTCTTTTTTTCGTTTTATTAAGGCGAGCCCTCGCTGTGCCAACCTGGCTGTGAAGCATTACCTGCTGAAGCCAGTTCAGAGAATCCCTCAGTACCAGCTGCTGCTCACAGGTACGTCCAACACAAATATCTTCATCAACTACTGAGTAACAAGGTCTTTGCGAATTCATTTTGCTTAAAATATTATCACTGTTGTGGAATACCAAACTGTCCATGTCTAACCAGCCTTCAAGGTCTCATCTTCTACCCCATTCTGCCCTCTAGTGTACAAAACGTAAAAGTTACCCCGCTTCAACAGTCCACCTATTATCAAGGATCTGCCCAAATCAGATTTAGTGACATAACAGAAGCTTTCGAAGTGTTTTGTGCGTCAAATGGATCAAGTCCAAAAATTTGAAAAATGCTCCAGGCATCACTGTTGTGTAATTACGTTACATAAGCACCTGCAGACCCTTTAGCCCAGGATTGTATTTCCACAACGTTCCTGGAATTAACGTCTCCAAAAGGCGATTAGTTGAAACCCGGAGTGGCAAATTCAAGTTTTCCCTTCATGCGCCTTCGCTGTTGATCCTGAATCTAAAATCTTTTTTCCTCTTTTGCAGACTACCTAAAAAATCTGTCAGTAGACTCGGAAGACTACAAAGACACAGAAGGTAAACTCACAGCCGTGTTTTATTGCGTAATGTAAAATTAACTTCTTTGTAAAAGTGTTCATATTGTACAGATTTTTTTTCTTCCCATTATGTGACATTACAGCTACAAACTGCAATGTTTCTTAATGGGATTCTATGTGCTGGCCCATAACCATGAAGTGGAAGGAAAATGTCAGTGGATATATATTTTTAAGTCTGAGACAAACTCATAATTGGATTTAGGTTTGGACTCTTCTAGATCAATATAACTTGATCAAAACCATTTCCTTGTGGCTTTTTGTTTAGTTTAGGAAAGATAAAAGGCTCTAAAAGGTTTTCTCTGAGCATCGCCTCTTGGTCAGCTTTAACCATCTTCCTATCAACCCTGTCCGTCCTGCTTTGTATTTTAAAAAATGACCTATTTGACAAATTGTGAAGGGAACTGCATTGAATGGATCATAAAGAGCAATCGACGTGTCTCATCTGAAAACACAAATAAAAACATGTTTTCTCAATCCAACCAGCTGCCCTTGCTCTTGTGAAAGAGGTGGCCAATCATGCCAACGACATCATGAAACATGGGGTGAGAGCTGCATCAAGACGTATATGGGGAATTTTGATAACATAAGTATGAAACGCCTGTAAACTTCTGCTGCTTTCATTCCAGGATAACTTCCAGAAGCTGGTTCAGGTCCAGTGTCGTCTGAACGGCAACCATGAGATCGTCCAGCCGGGACGGGTGAGGCACTGAGGAATCTGTTTTAGTCTTCAGATAACTTTTTATGACTGAAAACGGTTGGACCACAGCAGCTAAATTAAATAAACATCTCTTCACTGGTGTTTATGCTCCAGATCTTCATCAAAGAGGGCGTCCTGATGAAGCTGTCCAGGAAGGTCATGCAGCCCCGGATGTTCTTCCTGGTAGAGTTCACTGCTACCTCTTTCATATGTCTTGTTTTTTGGATTAAAAAAAAAAAAGTAACACAAGCACAAATATGCTACTTATCTCAACAGTCCAGAAAGAAAGGCTTTTTTTTTCTCCCCCAAATGCAGCAGAACATTTTGTGATTTAAGTAACACTGTGGTCTAATATAAGGAGCTTATGTGTCAGAATTAAGCTGTCTTCAGATCAAAGCTCACAACAAAGAATGACCCTATTTTTTTTTAAAGTACCACGCAGACATTCAGCCTAAAATTAATCTTCCCTTTAATTCCTCTCCTCCCTGTCTTGTTGATTAGAGCTATTTTACATTAGATTACCATGTGATAAGTCAGTAATTCACTATTATTTATTTAACTCTTTTATAAATGATGTAATCTTTCAATATTGGAATGTGTAACAACCTCAAGCAGTAGACCTATTTTTCTACATGAAATCAGATAAAAGTCCTCCAAAGTCTTTGATTCGTCAAACCGAAATCATATCCAAACAGGAAGATTGTCGGTGTTTAAGCATGAGGTTTCAAAAGTCATTCACCCAGGATCACATTATGAAATGGAGCACCACAATAATTTATCTATGTAAACTTCAAATTGTCCTAAAATAGGATTCCACGTGATAAATCTGTCAGCTGGGAGGAAAAAAACAGAATCGCTCTTCTTATTCTGAGTCTGTAGAGAAACCAAAGTAACTCTGCTGCAAATCCCGGTGGTGACACAAGAGAACGAGAAACCGCTACATCCGTTATGCTACATCTGTATTACATCATAAAACTTCTGAATCTTTTTTTTTTTTTTCTGTCTTTTAGCTTAGCGATGTGTTGCTGTACACCACCCCTGTTCAGCATGGCCAGTTCAAGCTTAAAAACATGCTGTCTCTGGCTGGGATGAAGGTGAGAGCTTCGCCTTTTTCTTACGTCCTTCATGTAATCACATTCATGTCATCTCGATGAGCTTCGTGCTGCCAACGCCGTTCACAATGCTGATAATTGCAGGTTAGCAAACCCAGTCAAGAGGGCTATCAGAATGAGCTGAACATAGAAAGTGTGGAGCGCTCCTTTATTCTCTCCGCAAGGTAAGTTTGAAAAAGGCACGGTAATATTCATCACGCTGTCGGGTTTATGTGGAGGGTTTTACCTTTTCTCTTCTTAAAGTTCGGCCGCAGAGCGAGATGAATGGCTCAAGACTATTTCCTCGGCCATCAGTGAATACACAAAGAAGAAAATTAGCTTTATGTCTTCTAACAAGCCAGAGGAGGTAAGAATATTTTTCAGCGTACGCTTTTCCTGTTTTGTGATCTAAAAGCCTGAGTCACTGTGATTTAAACACTCAGACTTTAGCGTGTATGATTCAGCAGTGAGTGGGAACTTCAATGCATCATTTTTGCTTTCATCCAGGAATATTTGGGCGAATGCGTTGATGGTCCACCTTTGGGATCCACAGCCCCCATTTGGATCCCGGACACACGAACCACCATGTGCATGATCTGCACTTGTGACTTTACCCTGACGTGGAGGAGACACCACTGCCGCGCATGTGGAAAGGTTCGCGGACAAATACATGCAGGATTTTTTTCTTTTTCTTTTTTTATTTCTACTCTTTAAGGACAAGTGTGATTTCTGAAATTGTTTTTTATTGACAAATAAAAACTATAGATTACCTCTTTCAAAAGAACTATGCAGCTGTTTTATACATCCAGTAGAAGAGGTGCGGTGCCTTGCAGAAGTATTTGTATACATTCTTGACTTAATACAAAGTGAGGTGTGAAATGGTAGGAAGTGACACATTAAAGATGTTTACAAATGAACATCTAAATAGTGTTGCATTCTTAACCATCATCTAACGCTCCAAAATAAAACCCAGTGCAACCAGTCAAATAATTAACGAACAGAGTGATATGACATCTTTCTATTATATGTAAAGGAACTATTGCTGTTAACATACCAAAACTTCCAAACTGACAAAGTGTTTAAACAAAACAACTATATAGGTTTATGTATTAGCATTTATAACATGCGACTGAAATGTTTTTGCGGTTTCATCCCCTCAGGTGGTTTGCCAGGCTTGTTCCTCCAATAAACACTGTCTTGCATATCTAAAGAAGCAGTCAGCACGAGTGTGTGACCAGTGCTTTGACGTTCTTGAGCATAAAAGTAAGCCTGAACATGTTTAGTCACTGTTTGATACCAACACGTTGCCATTCTTGCATATTCTTCTACACTCTCAGGGTATCGTATATCCCTAAAACAGACACCAGAGGTTCATAAACATGTTCTCACAGTTAAAGCACTTTCTGTTCAACAGATGAAATTTCCTCAGCAGCAACATTGCCGCCTGGAAGCAAGGCAACGGTTGCATTTAACAGAAAACATAAGAGGATACCTGCAGCCCTGAAAGAGGTAACTGATGCTTTGTCCTGATTTGAATGACCCTTTATTCATACAGTGCTTTGCAAACGTATTCATGCTTCATGCTCATTATGTCTTGCAATGAAAATCGTGTGACATACCTGAACTCGGCAGCCTAAATAGTCTGAGGGGCCGAACTTATTATCAATTTTATAAAGCTAAAGAAGGAAAAGTTAACTTTTTAGCTTTATAAATACAAATATATAAAAAGCTGTTTGCTTTTTGGTGAAATTTTTCTTTTTAGGTTGTAGAACAAAGAAGAAAAAAACTTTTACAACAAAGGAGAGAAAATGTTGAGGAACTTAACAGTTCCGTCCATTTCTGTCAAGAATTATCCAAAAAGAACAATCTGTATTTGATGCATATATTAACTAAAAACTACTAAAACTAGCCTGTCTTTTTTTATTTATACCTTAAAAAATTATGTCTTGAAATATAAGTATTATCCAAGGTTATTCAGAGCTTGGGTGGAAGGCCTAACAAACCACATTAGAGCCACAAGTTGCACTCTTTTGTGATAGATCAATACAAAGTAGAAGCAAAACTACACAAATTATTTTACAAATAAAAATCTGTAAAATGCGCCATCCATTTTGTATCATGCCTTTTGTACTCTGATACACCAAAATAAAACCCTAAGCTTTGAATTGCCTTGTATAAATTTCAACAAAATGCATTGGAAGTTGGAGATAAATCACATGTATGTATACTTTTAAAGGGCACTCTGCAGAAAACACACAACACAATTGCAAATATTCACTTTCTCACATGTCCTTTGAGGACTGATACTAATATAGCTTTTTATACAGTCACAACATGAGAGCTTTTTTAAATTTAGACCTAAAAACACACTTTTCTTTGTCCTAGGTGTCCGCAAACACGGATAATTCCTCCATGAGTGGGTATCTGCAGAGGTCCAAGCACAATAAGAAGCAGGGGAAGAGGCTGTGGTTTGTCATTAAAGACAAAGTCCTGTACACGTACGCCGCTAGTGAGGTATGCACGTCTCACCGTGTTCATCCGATGCAGAGACTCGTGAACCAGCCTGATATCTACCTTTGTTTTGGTTCTACCTCCAGGATGTGGCAGCCTTAGAGAGTCTGCCCCTGTTGGGCTTCGTGTTAAAAGTGGATTCCTCTCAGAAGCAGCAGTTTAAGCTCTACCACAAAAACACCCTTCACTACATTTTCAGGGCAGACGATGTGCAAACAGCCCAAAGGTATGTATGTGCAGCAGAAAAGATGAATGCAGCTTGGTTTGAAATCACACTGAGACAGCTGTGATTTCAACAGTATTTTCTCTTTTTTGTTTTTATGAATAGATGGATCGACACGTTCAAAGAGGCAGTCGTGTTGTAAATCTCTGAGTGGAGGAGTTTGTATTTTACCTCAGTGCTCCGTAGCTTTTACAAAGAAGAAGAAAGTCTTCTGGAAGCACCATTTTAGTTGAAATGACCCCCCCACCCCCATTTTTATCTTGTTCGATTGTTTTTACATTTCTGTAAATGTTATTTTTATATATGAGCAAAATTCTTTGCCTATAGGATTTATGGTATTTCATTGAGTACTAAGAGTATTCAATAATGCCAGGCTCTTGTCTCGGACCACTTTGACTTGTTAATGATGGCTGCAAATTTCTGAAAAATATTAGACCTATGTTTTGTTATAGCTTCAAAGGGTCCAAAAAATTGTGCAAAGGCTGTTTGTTGTTCCCTGACATCACACTGTCACTGTGCAAGAGGCTACACATTTTCAACACCGACTGTAAAAAAGTAACATTATTTTACATATTTTGCACTTAAGTCACTTAAAACTATGTACATATGAAATTTTGCATGTAAACTGAGAAATAGGAAATGACTGTAAAGCAAATAAAATCAAACGTCTGTGAATATTTGTATCACTGCTTTTCACTTTACTGCACTGTGCAAGGGTAAACATCTGGTATTTATTAAAAAGAGAAAAAGTACCATGTTGAATATTTATGAAAATATGTACTAGCTTTCCTAATTTTGTGTAATTTACATTTTATTTCCGGTATCTGGTAGTAGTTTTGTACATTGTTATGACTCACTCTTGTTTGCAGAAATGGCTAAATTCAGTTATGTTGGAGGATTTTTGAACATGAGCCTGTTTTAGGTCAGTCCACAACATCTTGAGCTATAAAACCAGTCTTTTGGAAATTTTTCAGAGGGGATTTTGAAATAATGGCTAAAAGTATCTGTAAACTAAGGAACAGATATACATTTTCCTTTAGAGTTTCTTGGTGCAGGACACAAATTTATGGTTCCTTTAATTACAGAAAATCATCCAAGTCCTGAAGCAGACACAGAACATCACACTACTACCATTATTTGACTGTTTTTATGAAATGCTCCTCTATTTTTACTCCACATTTAATAGGCTTTTTGACTTTTTCCGACTCACAAATGTCATTGGGTTTTTCATAATTAAAAAATGGAAATTAAATTATAATGGTAAAGCATTAATAGTGACTTAGTTTAATTTCTGAAGGGACTATTAAGACCCCACACTTGCTGATTTGCGGCTCCTTTGAGAACAACTGAAGAAGAAAAATGTTGATGTCCTTTTTCTAGTGAATAAACAAATTTCAGTGAGGTGAAGTGAATTAGATGGCTTAAAAAGAGTCAACAGCAATACAAACACAAGGAAGTTCTAGAGTATAGCATTACACTGTTTCAGTGTTTATTACATTAAGCCATACAAAACTTTCAGTTCATCCAGTAACTTACTGGAATATACATGCAGTTAAAAAATCCTGGGGAAAAAAAACACAAAAAACAATTGGACTCAACGATCCAAAATATGAGAGACAGCCTATAGAAGAACACTTTAAGCACTGAATCTAAAAAGTATCTAAGACTTTTAAAAACTATGTACACAAATGATCAACTTAAACTCAAATCTACATTTATCTATTTCAAGCAAGTAATTTAAAAATGAATCTAAGCAAAACACAACTAGATAGAGTTCAAGATTGTTGTCATTTTTACCTTAATTGTAATTCACACTCTTAAATCCGAGCCACCAGCATTATTTATAGACAGCCAGTTAAAGGAGACAGTCCGATGCAGAGCTGACAGTCAACATACCGCAGCCGCTGTCATACATAAACCGCAGCAACGTTAGTGCGCATGCGCATCAAACCTTTATGGATGAAAAAGGTCACGAACTCTGACCCTCTCGACAACTGCAGAAAACACTTCCAATATTATTGCATTGACAGCAATACATTTTATTACATATCGGATTTTCAAAAGGTAAGAGACATTCGTTACTGCTAAAGTACGCGAGACTCATGAGAGAGTATCGAGCTGTTGGAGAAGCAGGAAGGAAGTTGCCATTAGCTACTAGCTAACAACCAGCTAACATAGCTTGTCATAGTCTGGAGCTACACTGAGGTCTGGTATGTCTATTCTCCTACAAAGTCATGCTTTTTTACTAGCCTCATGCACCAGTAGGTGGACTTTAAGAGACGCTGAGCGAAGGTAATGTTAATAAAAGGTGACAGCTAGTTAGCTTAGCAGCGTCAGCTAACAGAGCTACTGCTACCTTCGGTGCTAGCGCTGCTCCATAGATTCCTAAATAAAGGCATCCATATTGCAGGAAATCGTCATATAAACAGTTAGCGGTGTCAACCTGTCAGTTGTCTTGTTATTTAGATGATATGGGTGAAGATCCAAAGCCTCCCAAAACGAATTTTGGCCGGTTGTCGAAAACGGAACTATCTCTGTTGGCATCTCGGGCCTTGAACCCTAGTGTTCTTTAACCCTTCAATGTTGACCTTTCACCGACAGGAAAAGAAATACCTTTATCTTCCGTATAGATTTTAAGTAGCCGGCTGTCAGTGGCATGTGTAAATATAGTGTTTTTACCACTCATTTGATATCACCGGATACAGCTCTTTAGCGGTTTTTGCGGGCTTTTGGCTAACGGTAGCTCGGTTGCTTTCCCGCAGGCTCCACATTACTAACACGCCTTGACATCCAACATAATAAACCAAGTGGTTGTTTATACTTTCCGACCCAGGCAATTTCGAATGAACTGACACAAGTGTACGCTTAATCACATATATACAAGTCGGATCGATGCTTTAGCGTGTTGCATGTACCATGTAGAGGGGAGAGAATGAGATGCTAACATATAAAGGTGGAGGTAAAGTCTGATTGTAACGCAACCAGAATGTATTTTCGCTGAGATAGTGCTTTCATTGTTTTGGTTTATCATGCTGCTTTATGTCGGGATCTATTGTTTCTTGCTGCTGGGCATCAATAAGTTAGAATGTCAATAAAGTGTATTTATCTATTGCAAAGGTTATTTGCTGATTTCCGTGATTATGGCTCATAGCTCATAAACCCAGTTTTATAACATATCAATAAAATTTTAAAGCCATGGGAAATTGAAGTCTTAATCAGGTTATTATAAAAATATTTGTACCTTGAAAAGCCTGTTTCCCCCGGGCCCCAGTAACACAAATCTGCATATGTTGTATGAATGTCATTATTTACCAAAATAAATAATAGGACTTCAAAATGACTGGTCTCTTACTGTGATGATTTCTGCCGTACAGGTGTGCATGCCTCATGGGGCACTGATGTGAGGAGCGGCGGATGAAGGTGTGCGCAGTATTGGAATGGATGGACAGACTCACAAGATTCAGCTTGTGTCAACAGACAACAGCATGGCTTTAGGACATCGAATCCAGGTGAATGAGAGGACTCTCTGCCCTTTGGACAATTCATATCAATGTGTGCTCTAGCTGCAAAAAACAAAAATAAAACGTAGATACTCTGCTTACACTTTCTATGTTATTTCCTCTGATAGATCGTAACTGATCAGCAGACCGGACAGAAGATCCAAATTGTCACAGCACTTGAGCCGTCCTCCCCCGGGAAGCAACAGTTCATCTTGGCGAACGCCGACTATTCCCCTGGCGGGAAGGTGATTCTGGCCAAGCAGGAAGGCTCTCCTAACAAGGTGATCCTCGCCTCTTCGGACGGCTCCGGGGTCAACCAGCTGCTTTTTGCCGCCCCCGAACTGGCAGGACAGCAGATTCAGGTAACGGTCCAAAGCATGTCGACTTCGTCCCCGATTCTGTTTCCATAAACAAGCCTCTGGAAGATCATATGACTGAATCATGGGTCTGTTTAGTCAGCCTAAACCTACCGCAGTGATTATTGTCTTAAATCATCCCGTCGTGTTGTGCTTGTCAGTTTGTGACTGACGGCTCGGACCAGTCTATCGTCAAGCCTGTGGTGGAGTACTGTGTTGTCTGTGGGGACAAGGCGTCAGGTAGAAATAATACTTTACTCAACTACTGACAGTATTTTTCTGAACTTTAAGCCAGTGTTGTGTGTGTTTGTAGCAAGCTGTAACATTTCCTTCTCTCTCAGGGCGTCACTATGGAGCCGTCAGCTGCGAGGGATGCAAGGGCTTCTTCAAACGTAGCATTAGAAAGAACCTGGTGTATACCTGCAGGGGATCGGGAGAATGTGCCATTAACAAACTACACCGAAACCGCTGCCAGTACTGCCGACTACAGCGCTGTATAGCTTTGGGCATGAAGCAGGATTGTAAGAGAACCTTTTTAACTACTTATTCACCTTTGATAACGTGTCGGCAAGGTTTCAAGCGCCTTACCGTCGGGAACTGTGTCGTCTTCCAGCTGTGCAGTGCGAACGGAAGCCCGTCGAAGTCGCCACCAGAGAGAAATCGTTGAATTGTGCGGCCTCCACGGAAAAGATCTACATCCGGAAGAACCTTTGCAGTCCTCTGGCTGCCACGCCCACTTTTGTATCTGAGAAGGAAACCGTTCGGTACATAACATTCACCCCAAGATACCACAGTAATGATATGTCCAGTTGACATTGAACTATACATGTAGTGTTGATGTCAAACAATAGATGTTCTGTTTGCATATTTATAGCAGAATAGCACACAGAAGTAAAATAGTTTAAATATGTCTAAAACATGTTTTTAAACGTATTCAAAAACATCTTTTTTCATGTTTATTTTTAGCTATTTAAATACAATAGTAGCAGAATGTAACCCAACTATTAAGCAGCAGTGGCTTCTTATTACTCAATTTGACTTTAATAACTGGATATCAGACATGGACAATTTTACATTTCTAAGCAAACATGATTTTAAAATGCAACGGCTGAGTTTTTAAAATGTTTTTGGTATTTTAAAAAGTTGATATACAGGGTTTCCCCCAGCAAACTAGTTAAGCCTGGTGATAAGGTGCTTGGGAAGTCTACCAGTTGCCCACTGTGTTGTGTTGTGTTCAAAAAATGTGGAAAAATTTACAGAATTTTTTTAAAATAAAACATCAATAAAGAAAATATAGCGGTGCACTAAATAAAGCTAGTATTTCTGCAGGTTTTGTATGTAGAACCAAATACCATTATCTGTTTTTAAATAGATAATTGTCTGCTAAAGATTAATAATGCATTATTATGTATAAATCTAGCGTAAAACCCGTCTTTGCTATCGCTGTTACTGGTGTTAAAATAAATAAGTAAACAACGCTTAGCCCGGTGGGGGATCAAGTAAAGCCTGGTGGCCCGCCAGGCTTATAATACTCTGGGGGGAAATCCCTGATATAGTTGAATTTATTCAGTATGGTTGTCTAATAATAACAATAATCAACGTCTACTTTCAGATCCACGAGTTTGCTTGAGTCTAGCATGTTGCTCAACATCCAGCAGCCCTTCCCTAAGCTGGAAAACACCATCCTAATTCCAGCATCCCCTGATAAGGTAGCATTCAGTGTTTAATATGTTTGAGTTACTGGCATGAATGGGTTTGTTTTATTGAAAGAAATGAATGTGGAAATATGGTTCTTTTGCCTGATTTTGTTATTTTGTAA